AACCAAAAAAAAAGTAGTTTTCTGTTCGGGCTTTAAAGGGTTAAGTCATGTTCTGATTTCAAGTCCAGGAATGCAATCAAAACAGACTACTGGATGTAAAACTGAAGAAGTTAGCCCTGAAATTCCTCAACAGATCATCTAATAAATAATAGAGAAGGTTTAAACTGAAGCGTAGATAACTGGAGGCTCTAAAGCACAGAAACTGATCTGTTGCTTCAAGCTTTTTTTAATGTTGCTTCCTATCAGGCTATTGTTGTAGGGTGTTATTGTTCCATGCAGTGATTACATCTGACCTGACTTATGTAAGAGGTTTACAGCGTAGCCCCCCACCCCCACCCCACATGGGTTATTGGTGTATCTGTTCACCATTCACTGGCAGTATAAGGCACAGTGTCAGGCACACCTCCCAATGAGCAGCTCTGCACAGCAAGTCAGTTGTTTTGATCTTCTCGCCTCAGTTTCATCCTTAGCCTTTGGAAATCTAGGTCAGCTATATTATTTATTGATTGCCATTTCACAACTCTCTTGGTTTCCCCACAGCTGCTCCAGAGAGCCATCGCGGATTTAGAGCAGAATCCTCCTTTGCCCCGACTAATGAAATCCTTTGGCTCGCTTTAAGAGCCTGTCTAGATTAACCGAATAACTTTAACTGATAGGTTATCGTATTTCAGGGGGAGAAAGAAAAAGTATAATCTAAAATATTTATCATCGCTTCCAAGAATCCTTTAAAAATCTTTCAAACTAGAACAAAGCTGCTCTTTTCAGGCCTTAAGGTGAGAACACACACTATATACTACAGGTTACTAACCTTTGTTATGTCCTCAGCCCCTCCGAGAGGTAGTGGCTGCCGGTGGGACAAAGGTCTCATCAGAGAGTCTGACCCCATGTCCAAACGAGGACGTTTGATCTCAGCGTAGTCCATCTCTGATTGGCTGGCGGCCTCCGGCAGGTAGATGTGCTCGTAACGAATGTGCTGCTCTTGTCCTCTGAATTAAAATGAATAAAAAAAAAACAAAACAAAACAAAAACATGGTCATTTATGACTTTAACTGAACCCCCCAATAAGAACTGGAAACAAACTGTGGAGATTTAGCGTTGCCATGGTAACACAGTTATAGTTAGGGATCAAAATCTTTCTGAACAGTCAGGAAAATTTGCCGTATAATCTATGAAATACGAAAAGAAAGATTGTTGACTATGCAAAACAGTTTACACATCAGCAATCGTGTTTTACAAGCAGGTGGGAGAGAACAGTGGCCGTAAGAGGCTGTAAAATAACTACTAAATGAGGAATTAATTTATTAACACCTGATGACACAGAACCGATTAGTATAAAGTAAAAGGATCAGGGGCTGCTATGATAGCAAAAATTATCAAAAAAACTGAGAAGCCACACACAGGCGCCATGACAGTCTGAACACGTGACTACTCCCTACTCCCTATGATTGGATTTATATTATCTACATTTTATACGGGGCTGCTTTGTATTCTATGCCTCATATTGTACGGCACTTTGCAACACTTGTCTGAGAAAGGTTCTATATAAATAAAGCTCACTTACTTAATGAACCACAATGCTGCAAACTGCTGCTATGCTTTCATTACACAAGAACAAACCATGTTTCAGCCGGATGTAAAAAGGGTTTTGTTTTTGTTATTGTTCTTCTACAGGGTTCCTACAGCATAAGGCAAGTTAAATTCAAAACTTTTTAAGACTTTTTAATGCCACTTGAAATAAAAATTTAAGACCAAATTAGAAAGAAACACAAGAAAAACCGCTTGCGACAACTTAACCCAAAGGTTTATTTTAACATAAACCACTAATGCTTCAAATGTTGAAAAGCTTCCCATACAGGAAGAAAGCTAAAAACACACAAATGACAGATTTATTTTAACAATTATTTAACTGAATTCACAAACTTTGTTTTAGCAGGGAACAAAACAAATCAGTTTTAAAGCCACAACATAACCAGTGCTAAGTCTTTTTTGCAGCTATTTTTCTTTGTATG